GAAAAATGTTTGCAAAAGGTTTTAATTCCTGAGACCCATCCGAGCAGATATTGCAGCATTGCAACTTGCAGCTAGGGGAGAGGTCATTCCCTGTCGGGTAGTGTTTGATCATTAAGGGCTAAGAGGTTAAGTGTAGGAGACCATTTAGGGCTATATTCCTGATGGGCTATATCTTACTTAAGTCCATTATCCTTGGGCCTTCATAGGATGGCTAGACTCAAGGATCATTTAATGTAAATGTTAGGCCCATTAAGAGCCCATACTAATGGACTTAGGGGTTCAATGTACTTGACAGTTAATTCGGCCAAGCCTTTTCACAAAGGCTAGGACGAACCCATGTGGACTTATGTAAGGTCATTGTTGAGGTCCCACGCCATACAAAGTAAACCTAAATGAGTCCGCAACTACCTAGGGATGTGAGTCACTTACTTAATGGCCTAAAGCCCATGATTAATTGGATTAATCAAGTGGTCACATGACAGGTTAATCAGTCAAGTGACTTGGGCAAATATGGGTTTGGATAAGGGTATGGAGCACCAATTAGGATAAGAGAATAAGTCTTATCAACTTAGARAGTTCAAATCCAAATAAAGATTTGGATTAGGAACCTCCTAATTCGATTAGAAGTGGTGCTACTTAAGGCTTATAAAAGGAGAAATCGAACTATTCCAGTTACACATTCTTCTTTCAGTTCTCTCTCTACTCTTGCCGCCATGAAAACCCTAATTCRTTATCCCCTTCTTGTGAYTAATCTTGATCAATTTGATCTCTGAATTTTGCAAGAAAACATCATAGAAAAACCGTGTTAACCTCCTAGTTCGATCCAATTTGTTGGATTGTAGTTTTGTTGAAAATTGCGTTGTTGAATCAACTTCATCTCATGCTACGCCATCTTTAGTGGAGGCTGGTTTTGGGACTTATTTTGGGCATGAACTACCACTTTGGGTGCTACACTTGTGGAATTTGTATCAGGTACACTTCTTCCTTTCAAAAGGTTTCAAAATTGGTCTGGTTTCAATGCAAGAACTATCATTGAAAAATGCAATTTTTTTTTGAAACTGGAAATATGATTCCYGGAAGTTTGCAAGAAATTTTTGAAAATCTGCCCAACCATCTAGCATGGTTCGACCATCCATACAATGGATCTAGCCTTCCTTCAATTGRCACCCCTAATTTATCATAAGCTATGAAGAGCCTTCTCTTATGAGAGGACTAAGGATGGTAAAATAGAGGATAAACTTTTCAATAATAGACCATATAGCTCTTTTAGGTAAATAACATGGAAAATTTTCAATGTAGATAAACCCAATGTTATTTTCTTTTCTTATTTTTTTCTAGTTTTTACCATGAGATACCAATTGGGTAAATAACAGGAAATTTTGTTCTCAGATTCTTACATCAAGTAAGCACTAAACCYAGGTACTGTGAAAGATTACCTTTCTAATTGGTAACGACTGACCTGTCATATCAGATGCCCCAAGGCACTGTGAAAGTCTTCCATTTTAGGATATGCCCCTCCCACTAGTCAATGACACTCTTATCATCTGATGAAGCAATCCCATTGACTGTCTCAATAAAACAAATAACCCAATTTTATGGTGCATCTCCGCCCAACAATTTAGCATGTTTTCATGCTAATGACGGATTTGAATGGCAACGGGGTGGGTTTGGGGTGAGGCACCCCCTCCCCTTCCCCGCCCCATAGTCAAGATACTTTGCCCTGTCCCCGCCTCATCCTCAGTGGTAGGGTGGGGCATACACTCCCCTATCGGGGTATTTTGGGAACTACTTAAAAATTATCTATTTTGTGGACAATTTACACATAAGATATAGGAATTTGGGGGTGTTTTAGGAATTGAATTATAATACTTTAGGGGTAATTCAAAAATGGAAATATGGGATCCTATGGTTTTTAAGAATTTAGGGAAAACTTAGAGATATTTTAAATATTAATATTAAACCYAGGGATATTTTACTTTGGGGTGGGTTCGGGGAATTATATACAAAATTCATCCCCGGTTCGGGGATAAAATATTTTCCCCATCCCCAGTTAAGGTTGAGGAAAACCCGTTCCATTCAAGGCGAGCTAGGCCCTAGTTTTACAGGGRAACTTGCCATCCCTAATGACAAAAGGCTTTTAGAGGCACCATCTTATGATATTTTCTATCTCATAACACTTGTATTTTTCATGAGRCAACAAACATATTAGTCCCTATGTCAGTTTTAAGTCTTACTATAGTGGTTCCCACTGAATTTCATAAAGTCAAATTCAAATGAKCCCTAAATGAGTTAGGGTTCCTGTGGGGTTCATTTTTTGAGAGGAAACAAGAGAAGGGCCTATAAAAGGGAGATCATTAAATGATCCATAGACATCATGACAATGGTGTACATTCAACAATGATGGGCGTGAAATGTTACACAAGTCTTTTAATGGGCAAAGCACTTATGGCCCATGTACTAACACATTCACATAGCACATCACATATATAATTGATAAAAATCAAATTAAATCTTGTAAAACCCAATTCCATTTAGATTAACACATGATCAGCCCATTAATGAACCCAATAATCTAATAATATTAAGCACAATTGCAAAAAACAGTTCGACCAATATAGTTGTCCACACTAAAATGGACTTATCTTGTTTTAATCTAATTCTAATTAGGTTTTACAAGTATGGGCTGAATTGGTCCATGTAATGGCCCATCAAACCCTTGGCCTAGGTCCATATTTGATCACTTAATTAGTGATCCAAGGGATTGTTATCAGTCCCCAACCAATCATAGGTTTGACCCATGTAAGTTGGACCAAAACTAGGTCAAATCAGCCTAGGGTTTGGTACCCAAATATATCAATCCACATAGATAGTGATCTTAAAATTCCCACTTATGATTCACAATYATATCAACAAATAAACATCAATTTAACAAATTAAATAATTAAGATAGTGTGTTGGTCCGATTTTAATCCGAACAAAAGTTGGAAGCCATCAAACTACTATCTCCACATCGATCTCCTTCTTCATCTTTCTCCACGATCTCCAGCGAGTTCTCTGATGTAAATAAATTAGAAAAACCCTAATTTCTAATGCTTACATCAGGAAAACCTAATACATTCTTCTTAGAAAAAGTACACAGCTCAATACTTCTAGTACTACATCAAACTGAAAATCAATTTGAAATCAGGATTAAGTACATCTTTAATATCTTTCATACATAGTTAATTAACACGAGAATACCATTAAAAGGAAGTATCTAAGCACTAATTTTCATTTACAAAAAAATACTAACTTTCAATTTTGATATTATGTTGTTGTCATCTCTTGTACTAACTTCTAAAATAACTTTCTAGATTCTTTAATTCATCAATTTCACAAGCACTAGATGTTATTCTTCTATTAATTGTCAAATTGAGGAACTTTAATAATCCAGCCACCAAAGTGGCCAAAAATAATTCTACATTCACCCTACTCACAAACTTAAGATCATATGAGAGAAAAGGCCATAAATCCATAACCGCAATCTTAGGGAAAGGAGATAGAATAGATTGCAAGTCTTAATCATATTTTCCTGTTTTGATACCATAGAAACCTACAACCTCTAGCATAGAATAAATAACATAAAAAGAGAAGAAAGAAAGAGAAAGAGAAAGAGAAGATAAGAGAGAAATTGTGTATAGAGCAAAAATACACTCTACCTACACCTGAAATTTATTTATAATAAGAGTCAAATTAGCAGGTAGTTTTGGAGTGTTTTTACAGAGCCCAAAAACTCATGGAGGAAGATTATAACTGAGAAGTATGGTTTAAGGAGCAATGGTTAGATTCCAAATTTCTTGTGTTCCAACCTCCATGAGCAAAGAATAGTTGATTTTTAATTCTTACAACATCCAAAAATCAGTTGCAGGAATGCTAACAAATACATAAAACTTCAAAAAAAAAAATACTAGATTTGACATGTAGATTCTTGGATCACCTAAGACCCTCTCTTTTTGACATGTAATAATAAAATTTAAGTTTTCTACTACTGTTGAAGTGATTCAAATTTTCATGATAGTGTTGGTTCCTACAAGAAGTTGTTAGTTACTGATTGAGAAGCTATGGAAGTTCAACATAGCTTGTCTTGCTAAGTGGCTTTGGACGTGGGAGCCAATAGAGTCAAGAATGCCTCATGGATGTGCATGTGTGGAAATGAATTCAAAAAACTATAAGGTGTCAACCAACTGCTCCAATTAATGATGATCCATCACAATAATTGATAAAATTCAATTAATGATAGTCTCCACATCATAATTGATAAAATTCAAAAGGCTCATTGGATCAATAGTCTCCACATCTCCAATTAATGATGATCCATCACAATAATAAACCCTGATCTTGTTCCAATTATAAACATCTAGATAGTGACATACAATTTTATGTCATTCAAATATGAGAAGAATTTGGTTCAGACCAAGGAAAAATATCCTCCTTTGTCATGAGCTAAACTGTCACTAAGAACCCAATCTTGTAATATTGAATCCAATGTTTAAAACTAAACCATCTAAGAGAACAATATATTGCCTTAATCAACCAAAATCTATGAATTTTGGAGTCCATTTGAATGTTTCTGTCATTTAGCCAACCTACAAGTAAAAATTATAGTATGTATCAACTCCCTTGGAACAGAAGCAAGTTCTTTGTTTATGGGATAAAAAGTACTATTCTATAAAGAGAGAAACACTAAGCAAGTATGTTCCCAAAAAACGACTAACCTTGAGGTGAACCAACCAGTTGTTAATTCCTTATCCAAATCCTTTATCCATACTCCCATCCAAGAAAATTCTAAGGMATTTGGAATTTCAAAATGCAAAATCATAAGTGTGCAATAATTACAAATTTCACATTAAAACAAAATTAATGAATTTCTTACCATCCTCACAAAGAACCCATTTGCTTTCATTGTGATCAGTGTGCAAATTTGAAGATACAACCATGTGATTGATCTTGTATAAATCATTCTATGCATACTAGTCAATGTAAAGACAGGGCAAAGTGCTAGAAAAGAAAAGAAAATAAAATCTCTAACCCACTTGCTTTATTATTCAGGATCGTACTGATCTACAACAAGCTTATTTAGTTTAATTCAACAAACTCAGATACCAAAAGTGAAAGCAAAAATGAACTAACAAAGCTAAAATCATTAGTTCAACATGAAACCACATAATTGAGATTTCAGAAGCAGACAATCACAGAGCATATTCAATTCATTCTCCAATGGCTGAATCTCAGACAAGACCCTTCTCACTCTTTCACCTGAAAATAGTTGTGTCAAGTTGCTTTCACTCTTTCATAGCATCTTGTTGCATACTAGAAATATCTCCCTACATACATGTTAGATTCATGGGGAGCTGGATTTCTATGCTTTCAAAGTGTGCAGAGTTTTTGTTTGTAGGGAATTCTATCATGAATCTTACCTTTTGCCACAATGATGATGACCTATAGTATAGGGTTTTGATGTAGAAGCAAATCTCATCGACATCAATTGCCAGAAGTAGTTGTTATTGGAAATTGACCACCTGCAAATGCAAATTCTTAGAGAATGGCTGGCAAGAACCAAAGAAAGCCACCAAGAATGACAACAAGCAATCTTCAAAGTTCAAACCTTGATTTCATTTTCATTGTCTTCAATAATTTTTTGAAGCTTCATTGTCTTCGAGAATGACCGACTAAAATCTACCTTCTGTCATTTTAGCTATTTTATCTTTTTAACTATATTATTTTATTATCATATTTGTGAAATCATGGGTTGAACCAGAACCATTTGACCTGAAAGATTTAATGAATTTTGACCTAGAAATGGGAGGCTAAAGATATATTTCTAGGTCAAATTTTAAAATTTAAAACATTGCTGCAATTTAAATGTAACACTAGAGAAAATTGTAATTAATTTGCATGTTTACACAACTAAAATCATTATTGGTTCACTTAATATACYATCTTTGATGCTACGCACTTTAACACACTCTTTGTTATGTCTTAAAACAATGTACTAACCCTAACACAATAAGATGAATTAGAGCAAGACCTACTTTCTAGAACTATTTTGGTTAGATAATAGAAAAGCACATGCCATTAGGGCTACAAATAGCCTGGATCAGATTCCATAAAGGGTTATCCATAGAAATCTGACCAATCTGAATTCAATARGAAATTGTTGGGTTTTCAAGGTTGTGATTCAAAATCGAATTTGGATACCTTATTGTACATCCAATTTGAATCCGATTAAAATATACACAGATAAATAAATATATAATATTTCATAACTAACGAATCGGATCGGGATAAATTTGAATTCGACCCATTAATTAAATAGATTTTTCAATTCAATCCAATTTGTTAGGATCAAGGGAGGTATCTGAAATTCATATTCTAATCGGATCTTATCCAACTTATTTGCACCCCTATATGCCATGCATGTATATAAATGAAAAATGTTCTGATTTAACTTGGCTTGGACATAAAGCAATAAAAGAATGATAAAATAATCTGATTTAACTTTTCTGGCCTAGATGCAAAGTCAAGGCAAAGCATTTTAGAGTAAACATAAACAAGCAATCAAATATTCAGCAAAAAAACCAACTATAGATCAAACTGTTGATGAAAGTGATGCAAAACCCAAAGGGAGGTTCACAATGGMGGATCTAGAACCTTTGATCAATGGGGGCAGGGTATCGAGTGGTGAGGATGGATACCCAATGAGGACAAGGAAAATTGCCATCTTTAGGTTTAAGGAGACAAAGTAGAGAGATGAGATAGAATTGTCGAGGGATGTGAAATGGAAAAAATGGCCCCATAACTTGGTTGATATGGAATAGAGGCATAGGTGTCATTCTTTAATAGTTTTTTTCTTTATTTTTTACCTATTCGTCTGTAAGAAAATAACATCGCATAATTAAGAAGCCAAATTTTATTTGACCCCCTATTAATTTATTTGAGTGGGTGCAATTGTAAAAAMTTTTAAATTTCTTCATAATTTTCATAATTATATAAGAACATTTTCAAATATCGRTGGGGGCRATTGCCCACACTGACTTCTACATAGATCCGYCATTGAAGGTTCATCTTCCTCTAACAAGATAACACTAACAAGAGACTCTTGTAGAGAAAGAACCTAACCACCAAAGCTGAAACAACAGCTATGTTTGGTGAAAAATCAGGAGAGCTCAAATTGGCTATTTATCAGCCATTTTTAGTGCTGCGTGCTGCGTGCTGCGTGCTGCCTTTTCCACAATGCTTCAAAGCACCTGAACCAATTTAGTTGAATCTTCAACTTGGTCATCCCAAACAGACCCTAAACTAAAGATGTACATAATCGGATTGTCTCTATTAAGAAATCTCCAAAGCTGAAACAACAATTATTTGGTGAAAAATCAGGAGAGCTGAAATTGGGTATCAGTCTTTTTTAGGGCTGCCTGCTTTAGCCTATTCTGCAGCGCTTCAAAGCAATTGAACCAATTTAATTGAATGTGCTCTTAAATGGACCTTAAACTAAACTAAAGATGTACATAACCGAATTGCCTCTCTCAAGAAGTCTATATATTCTTTTTTTCCACTTTAGGCTACATTTGTTCTAGGTGTTACTCAAGATTGGCGTAAAATTTCATTCATTTACGATAGAGTTTTACATAGATAATCGATGTAAATATAACATTGACAAAATCAATATAAATATTTACATTGATAATCACACTTTTCAAAATTACAATAATTCATTCATTTAAACCGATTAGTATTGAACTCCATCAATATAATTTTATATTTTTTAATTGATAAATATTTACACCGAAAACAAACCCAGTGTTAAGAAATGACTCACTTATTGAACTTGGATAGCTGGGCCAGGTTTAGTGCTGACCCATGCCCAAAACTGAAAGAGTAGGGAGAAAGATCCCAAAACTGATTGGCCCAGTATCCTTCGGTTCCTGTAGAGGATTCGGAGTGGTTTTTAGCGGAGGGAAAGAGACGGAAAAAAGTGAGGAAAAAACCTGAAAAAAAAAAGGAAAAAGAAAACGACCCAACAAATATACGAGTACGATTCTGTACGAGGAGGGAAAACGGAGAGAGAGATGACGAAATCCGGGGCAGAGAAAAAGAGGGTCCGACGGTCGTCCTCAGTTGCAAATGGTAGCAGAGATTCCAGCAATGACACCCCACCTAGGGTTTGTTCCTCCTTTCTCTCATTCTATATCTCTCTCCTTAGTTCAGTCGTTCTGTTTTGCGATCTCGGGTTTATGCATTGTTCATAAATTCCCAGATCTTATCCACTGGTGAAGTTGTATCGATGTTTTATGGACATTTTGATTGTAAATGGAAAGAATATTTGTTCATGAACTGCTGGCTTTGGGCCGTACTGGTTTTCGTTGATCATGAAGTTGGTAGACCATGAATTTGGATATCTTGTGATTATTTAGGGCTTTTCTTCTTTCTGTTTGGGTTGAGATTTGCTTTGGAAATTAGTTTTTCTGCTATTTCCTGACTCCTACTCGTTAATAAGYTTGAGTGAGTCTCTTGACAGTTGACGAGAGTAGTTTTTGCAGCTGTTTGCTTAATTGATCTTTGTTGCTGATAAAAAAATGGCAGCTTAATTGATCTTTGTTGCTGGAAAAAAAGCAGCTTAATTGAAGTTAGGAGTAATGTAAGAGAGAAACTTTAGCTGATAGAAGAAAGTGGATTTTCAAACCAACCATTTCGAAGGGAAAGAGTGGCTGTATTGTTGTGATTCCATGTTTGTTATAACACGTTTCATGAGTGATTTTGGTCTACAATCAGGCCAGTACTATTAGTATCACTCGTACAATCAAGTGATAATTGAATAGTAGAGTTCCAACATTGCAACAGAAATGTTGCATGGGTTATTCACTTCAAATGACTAAACTTATTTTCACATGCCAGTGTGACCTTTTATCTTTTTGGCAACATAATATATATTCTATTAGATTTATACATGCATCTCATACACATATTCTCCTCAGATGTTGGTATGGGCAGAGCAGCAACAGGTGAGCCACCATTCTCTATGCGCTTGGAAAAGGGAGTAAACATTCTGCAGATCCCTACCCCTGGATATGAGATAGTGAGAATTTTATCCAGGTATATAGTTTGTATGAGGAATCTTATTTTTTGTGAAGAGGCTTAGTGTCATCATCCTTTTTTATGCCAAAGGGTGCCTGTGTCCAACCCATCAAAGAGATGTAGCATGATTTAATGGCAAAGACATTATTCAGATCCAGGTCACATAGCCATGAAGAAGCATAGGTTGGATTGACAATGACCTGTTGAAACTCTTGCAATAACAACACCAGATTTTTAGCTTTCCAATCATTTAAGTTTTAGTTTCTTCTTAGACAAATGCCTCCAATTACCTACCCAACTATCTTCTTGTAACATTGCTTTATGGATGCTCTCTTGTCATCTGTAAGGTCAAAGATGTTTGAAAGGCAGTTTGAGGGTTGGTATCTTGCCCATGTTAAGAAGACAATTATTAATGCATTGTCTCATTTATCCAAAATTGTTTTCTAACTGGATCACAAGGTATAAACTGGGAGTTGGTTTGCAGAAGTAAGGAATGTGGTGGGTTAGGGCTAGGGAACACACAAGAAAGGAACACAACTCTTTTGGGGAAATGGTTATGGAGATTGCCAATGGATAGAGATGAGTTGTGGGCAAGGGTAATATTTTGCATTCATGGTCTTGCTGCAGCTGCAGATGGTTGGGATTCTGGAATTTCGGCTAGGGCTACAAGGGCTTTGCCTTGGAAATCAATCTATGATGTTCTTCATCTTTTCTTACCACACATCAGGTGTAGCCCAGGTTCTGGAATTTGTGTTTAATTTTGGGAGCATGTTTGGGTGGGCAGTGAACCACTAAGAAYTTAATTCCCTTTCCAACCATAGGGAGGAACCTATTTCTTTCTTTTTGGCTCTGCCTAATCCAATTGGTGAGTGCAATTGAGACTTGGGTTTCAAAAGAGGGCTTCAAGATTGTGAATGGAACATTGTCATTAACCTCCTATAGAATTTGGAAGGGGTGTGCTTGGAAGTTGGTAAGAGGGATAGGAGAATCTGGACCCCGTCGCCCTTAGGTTCCTTTTCTTGTAGCTCCTTTTTCTCAGCCCTTACTCAACTGAGTGAAAGCAAAGTATCCTCCTTCCCATCTAAGGAGATTTGGTGTAAACCTATTCCTCTCAGGGTGGGTGGTTTGTGCTAGGAAATGTATTTGGAAAGAAGTAATACTTGTAAGCTACTGCAAAGAAAAAGACCTAATTGGTGCCTTTCCCCTCATTGGTGCTCCTTATGCAAAGTTAATGGTGAGAATAGCTATCACTTATTAATTTCCTGCCCTTTTTCTTCTTCAATTTGGGAATGGTTCTTTTCTTTGTTTGGGTGTGGGTGGAACCCTCCCCCTAATGTACAAAGCCTATTTTCTTCCACTTTCATAAGCTGGTCAAAGAAGAGGGAAGAATACTTTGGAGATGCACAAGGGCAGCAGTGTGTTGGACAATCTGGGAGGAGAGGAACCAAAGACTCTTCCATGAAAAAAGCAAGAAGTAGAGAAGCTGTCATTCGAAGCTATTACCATCAAGGTAGTTCACTAGGTTAAGTCATTGGATATTTTTTAAGGTGTTCTTGGCATTGAGGTGATGAGAAAGTGGAATGACATCCCCCTATTTTTTGATGCAACGTGTAGGGAAACCCCCTTAAAATGTTAGCAAGGTTTACTTGGAATGGTTAGAAATTATTGGAATGAAAAAAAACAGAGGATTATATTTGTGGGGTGGAGGTAAAATGGCCTAATGGTTAATAAGTTAGCTCTTGTGCTTTTGTTTTTGTTCTGGTTCCAACCTGAGGCCCATCCAATATAGTCATTCTGAGTTGTTGGTGACTCTTCTGGCAAAAAACTGTTTTCTTCTTGTCAACTTTGTCAAATCCTTACTCCCAAATGGGGTTAGAATACTTTTAACAAGAAAATCATGGTTTTATGGAGATAAAAGATAGGAGGTTATGTTCTTCCTTGGCATTCCTTTTTTTTCTCTGGAACTTTTGATGTATAATTCACACCAAACTGTTAAGTTTCTTTGTCTTTGGTTTCCCTGCCAATGATATGGTTAGTGATTAGAAGAAGATTTCTGAAAGGTATCTCCTCCATGGTTTATGTATATGTGGGAGAACTTGTAAATTTGTGCTTTATTTGAACATTTTTATTTGATTGGTCTTTTTTATTGTGAACTCATTAGGAATTTTTCTGCAAACATAGGCTGCAGGGTAGCCTTGTTAATTTGCCGCAAGCTTAAAAAACAGAGGGCTAGGGTTTTTAAAATGCTTACCTTGTGAGCCAGTTCTTCTGTGATCTTATGGTTTTAGTTTCAAATCATTAGCTGCTTCTTATTGATTTGGTAAGGTAATCAACTGTTGAAGATTAGCTATCATTCAGGGAAAACCTGTTCATTCAGTCAGTTCATAACAGTCTTTTCAAAACAAGGGACAGAGCTTCTATGATAGCTTTTCCATTCATTCAAAGCAGGATATGGCAAAATCAACAAATGAGAATACAGGGTGTGTTATTAAGTTCTTTTCTCTTCTGATGGATAAAAATTTGCTCTGATGACTTAACTCTGCATGATTTTTGGTCTATGATATTCGTGTTGCTTCTGTTAATATTGTTTTCTTATTATGATATCCTTGTTGCAGAAGAAAGCTGCCAAGAAGGATGTGTTCCAGTTGTTTGCTGATAAGGTGAGGGACCATAAAGACTTAGAATCTAGATGGGCTGTTTTACAGGAGACCCGGGTGGAGTATTTTAGAGGAAAGGATTTTGTTAGCTTTATGAGAAATCATCCAGAGCTCAAGGAAGTACTAGAATCTGATAAGAATTTAGAAGCAGAAGATATTGCTAATGTTCTTTTAAGGAAGAATCTTTTAGTCCGATGTGATCGTGTGGTGAAAACTGTTCGACCTGGGAAGAAGAAGTTATCTACCTGGCCAGCACATCTAGAGATCTTTTCTGTAAGTATTCCTCTCTGGTCTTTGTCTCCTTTTATTGTTTTAAAGGAAAGTTTGATCATTATGGTGGGTTGTTCCTTTATTTCAATTGTTCTTCCACCACAGAGCATCTGGACATTGAAGGTTTTGATCTGTTCGGCTCGTGGTGTATCCCTGATATATGGATGTGGTATTGATACAACTGTTAAATTTGAATGCCAAGGCTGTCCTATCACTAAGAGCTTGAGGGACATGATTTTGTGTTTCTTGGTGCATCATGTGAATTAGAAAGAAACCACATGATCTGATCCTCTTCACCAAGTTGTGGTTGTAAAAGATTGTCACAACTTGATGGAGCTTTTTATCCATGTACTAAATGGATTATGGCAATCTTAGATCATTTTCTTTCCCTGTTGGTATTTTTGATGCTAGGATGTGTATATGAGACATAATAGAAATAAGTTAAAGTACTGTGTATTTTTCAAATGTAGTCTAAATTGTCAATTTTGATGAAGGGCCATGTTTCAACAAACTGTTTGGCTTGTTTAAGATATCTTTTCTAAAATATTTTAACTTTTCATGGTGTTTTATGTAAATATACAGTTTTTGGATGGGTAACTTACAATTTTATTAATAATATAAAAGAGGTAATATGTGTATATGAATCTCAGCCTTTTCCTGAACCGGAGATTGTTTCTTTTCTCTTCATTTACAAAAACTGCTAGTTTCGAATAGGAGAGAATTGGGAACGGTGGATACCAGGTGTTTCAAATCGGTTGTTGCCATCATAATTAAACCTGTTTCTCTGTCTGTGCTGTATTAAGTTCCCAAATTCTTCAGCAGTTCAACATGTGCTATCACCCTCCCTTATGTGCATTAAATTCTGCTTGTTATTTGTTTTCTTGTGGTGTTGTATTGTGCAGGATCAAGTTTTTTCTGAAAATGATGCTTTTTTTGCATGGACTTTTGCAAAAAGAAGACCACTGTGGCAGACAATTCTCTCATTCCTTTGGCCAGTGTTGACACTGGCAATTTGCTTGTTCCCTGTATTTCCTCATCAGTGCAAGCTGATAGTACTCTACACCTGTGCTGGGGTCCTCCTTCTCATACTCACCCTGCTTTTGTGTAAGCTCTAGAATTCTTTTAGAACATGTCCTAATTCCATTAATAACTTTATTTCTTTTATATCTTGTTCTTCAGAAACCTTTGTTAAATATGTCTGAGATAGGTGTCAAGTATGATGTTGGTATCAATGATATCCAGATAACTATACATATTTAACACACTGGTGTTGGATATGATACATACCTGACATTGACACCAGATACTGCATGGCCACTACTAGAGTATAACTCCATAGTACTAACACTTCAAAATATGTAAAACATATATATGCTAGGAGTTCAATTAAAATTGGCAAGATACAAGTATTAAGAAATGCAATATGGCTTAAAAAACTAGATATAGAAGCATAATATTAGCATATTAAATGGGATGTCCATATATTTGTATCTGTATCTGTGTCTAGGATCTTAGGTATTTGAGAGTTGTATCCCATTTCCTGTTGTGTCAATATCTCTGCATGGGCATCATAGATTGGTATTAATGTTTAGATGTGTATAACTAAGAGGAAATGCATATATATTTGCGGTTTATTTTATTTGCTTTTGCTTATATATAAAACAGTTGTAAGGCCAACTATGTTGTATGGAGCAGAATGTTGAGATGGATTAGTCTAGAAAAACATGTCCAAAAAATGAGTGTGGCAGAAATTAATATGTTGAGATGGATTAGTGGAAAAAGTAGAAAGGGATAGTGTCAGAAACGAATTCACTCAAAAGAACCTAGGAGTRGCTCCAATAGTTGATAAAATGAAAGATAATAGACTAAGATGGTTTGGTCACATGCATAGAAGACCACCATCAGCACACATAAGAAGCGATATCTTGCAAGGGACTTGAGGGGCTAGGGGTGGACCAAAACAGACATGGGTTGAAGTAGTTAAAAACGATTATGTGGTTGGATCTTTTTTTTTATGAGAAAAGGCAATGTATTGTATTAAAGATAAAAACACCATTCTACCCAGCAAGAAACTGTGAATACACTATATCCACCTGTACAAAAGGTATTGCTCAACCCTTACAAAAATAACAAAGCAGAATTTAAACAAGAGCTGTATGGAATATCTGTAAAAACTTCTCTTCACTGCAACCCAAGAGTGAATTCTACCCTATAGTTCCTTTACAACTATATCTTCTGATTTCTCCACAAGTTCAAAAATTCTTCTGTTTCTTTCCATCAACACAGTCCAAAAAATTGCCAGAGGAATCACTTTCCAAACTACTACCCCTTCTATACTCAGGCCCTTCAACTGCCAACTGGTTAAAAGCTCCAGCACAGATTTTGGAAAGCAAAAGTGTAGCCCAAAAATGTATATTAGTTTGGACTACAGCCTTCTAGCAAAACAGCAATGCAAAAATAAGTGGTCAACAGATTCCACCCCCTCATTACAGAAGATGCAGCTAGTGCTATGAATTAGAACCTCCCTTTTCAGTAAGTTATCTTTAGTCAAACATTTCTTAAGAGAGACTGTCCACATCAGAAAAGCAACCTTCTTTGGAGCAGCTGTGCACCAAACACTTTTCCAAGGAAAACTTCTCTCCCCCCTCTCCACCGGCTTACTATAAAAAGGCTTAACCGAAAARCTGCCATCCTTGCACCATCTCCATTCTCTTTTATCTTCCCTAACCTACTTGGTATAAAACTATAAATTTTATGCAACAGATCAGCCAATTGCTCGACTTCCCAATCATTTAAGTTCCTCCTGAAAGTAGGAGACCAAACTGCTGTCCCATTTTGAAATGCCAACCACTCTGCCACCAAGCCCCTCGAGGCAAACCCAAACAAGTATTAGTGTCTTAAATTCTTATAAAAAAGAAAGATTTTATAACTTTTAAGTGTTTTTTAAAAATATCTTTTATTAGGATGAATGAGCAACATTAGCAAATATGGGGTGAAGTGCAAGGTGCACAAGGCGTGTGCCTTTTGAAAATACTCTTCCTGGGACTTAGGCAAGGCACATACTCTAAATGCACCTCGCCTGTGTGCCTAGGTGCATGCCTTTTAAATCACTGGTTCCTCCACTCTATCGATCTCTGCAATAGTCGATAGACATTTCCTCTTGAGGATCTCATTCTTCCCATAAGTCTCTTTCTTCCACAATTTCAGCTTTTCTTTCAGGAAAGCAAGCTTTTAAGCAAAACTATGACTGGCAGAACTGGACACTTCACAACTTTACCCACCAATCATGCAACAAATCCACAAAACCTTCTACTTCAAACCAGCTATGCTCAAACCCAAAAGGTGCCTTCTTGGGCGAGATGCCTCCACTGTCTAGCAAAACAGGAACACGATCAGAAACATGTCTCAGCAATGCTTCTTGACTTAAATTAGGAAACTTTTCCTCCCAATCTGGAGTAACCACAAACCTGTCCAACTTAACCAAGACAGGGGTTTCTGGATTATTAGTCCAAGTAAATTTCGTTCCCATCAAAGGAAGATCCAACAGGCTCCACCTGTTCATAAATTGGTTGAAGCTCCCTATCCCCCTTCCTCTACTTGTACCCCCTTTTTTCTCAAAAGAAAATATCACTGCTTTGACATCTCCCCCAATACACCAATTTCCTCCATGAACGGACTGCATCCAAGTCATCCCAAAACATAGCCTCCTGTCATCATCCTCATTACAACCATAAACTGTTGTCAGCACCCAATTGAAATCATCTTCCACTAACTCAAGATGCAGAGCAACTGAAAAATGACCTAGAAACTTATCTGCTAACCTAACTACAGTAGAGTCCCAAATGACCAGAATTCCACCCAGTGATTTAAAAGGCGTGCCTAGGCGCATTTTAGGGTAGGCGCCTCGCCCAGGTCCTAGGTGCAGCCCATTCATAAGGCGCATGCCTGGTGCGCCTTTTGAAAACTTGCCGCTTTTTCCTTATTTTTTGAGTTCGGTGGCTGGGCCGGGGGCTCCCCTATTTGGTAATGTTGTCCATTCATTCATCCTAATAAAATATCTTCTTAAAAGCAATTAAAACTATAAAATTATTAATTTTTGTGTGAAAACTAAGAATTTAAGACCATAACATGGACTCGTTCTCGAGGGGCATGGCACAAAGGCGGCTTGTAGAATTAGGAATGTAATATGTCACATTAGCTACTTGATGCAATTGAGAAAAAAGAGATTGTGGATTTTATATGCTTGAAAATGTTTTATATGTTTGATTTCATTTTTAAATTCTCATTTGAATATGCTTTACATATTATATTTATGTATTTTATTTTTAGATAATAGGTTTTTTAAAACATTTATTTTAAAACTTAAGTTTATATTTTTATTAATATTATGTTTTATAATTTTTTGATTTTTTTTGCGTTTTTTTTTGAATTTTTTTGCATTTTTTTGAATTTTTAGCTTTTTTTTTTAAATTGTGCGCCTTGCCTAAAAAAGGCGCACACCTCGCCTTGTGCCTTGCACCTCAGGCGCAAAATGGCCCTTGCGCCTTGCGCTTTTAAAACACTGATTCCACTTGTGAATGCCCAATTGCAACCCCTCTGCTTCCAAATGCTATCACCACCGTCACCCCTACCCTTTCCAGCTTCATTTCCTGCAGACATAAGATACTTGGCTGCCATTTATTTAAAAAATTGTTGATAACAACCCTTCTACCAGAATTTAGACCCCTAACATTCCAAGTAATTATCTTGAGCCTCTCCATGACACAAGAAAATCTTCAAAACTGTTTACACCCTTTTCTCCCTTGAGCACTGCTTCCAGTCCCGTCATTAAGCCCCCAAGCTAAATGAAATAGCTCCCTGTCTGTTCTTTGACCTTTCTTCCCCTTTTCCTCAATTGCCTTCTTTCTGATTTCCACAAGGAGCAACTTCATTTCCTTCTCCATTACATTAATTGACACCCCAAGGAATTCCCCCATAGAAAGAAGCTTTAGAGAACCCAAGGAAGTCCCCCATAGTTGAATATGGCAAAACAGGATTCATGTAGTTGACCCCATATAGTTGGGATAAGGCTTGGATGATGATGATGATTTTAACCAACTGATGGTGGCTTAGTTGATGGAATCTCTGGATGTTTGTAGCGGAGACTTGGGATCCAATCCTGCTGCCACCAGGGTTGGGGATGTAAAGGGTATGGGGATGGGCTACCTCTGTTGTGTAGCCCCAAGAACATGGGTACAAAAAAAAGCTGACAATATAATAATGTGACAATAATTAAAACTTTAGGAACAAGGAGGGAGGAGTTATTGCCCTTTACTCAGGGTCAATAGACGTGGGAGACTTTTTGAGGACAGAAATCTTGACTGTGATGGAAGAGATCTGAAAAGCCAAGGAGCTGAATATAAGAATGTTGGTCATAGAAGGGGACACAAGATATAGAGATCAAGTTGCAGTGGGTTAAAAGGAGTGCAAATGCCTTTGCTGATGTTTTGCCAAAGCAATGGGTGGGAAGGGATCAACTCTTTTCACATTCTAGTTTTATATATAAGCCACTGGGTGGGATGAGTCATGGTTTAAAGAATTGATAATGCTGTGGTAATATGTGGCCATATATCATTTTCRAGACTGGATTTCTAAACAGCATAGAAACATGAATGCTCCCTTAAGTCTATAAAAGCATATATTATTTTGTATGTTATACAGGTTAGCAGTAGAAAAGTGCCCTTGTGACGCATAAGAATTAATGGTGTATATTGGCACTCTTTGGACTGTGTCTGTGGTGCATGTCAGTGAAGAGGCCAAAAAGGCTTTCATGTGGTTCTTGATGCAGGATCTTTGTGATTTAGTACTATTCTTGCAACTAAACTCAGGTTGTAGTTGTGTAGATCAAAAACAAAAAGATTAAAATAAGAAGAAAGAAGAGAAAGAGAGGGATGTACAAGAGATAATCCTAGGCAATCGCACCTAAGGATGAGCCAACGAGGGCAAATAAACCCTAAAATTAGCAATGACATCAAATTCTGCATAGAAGCTTCATAAAATAACTCCCCAAAAGGATCTTACAAGCTTAAAAAAAAAAAGAAACTTCCCAAGTAAGAAACTTGCCCCACAAGCTAAACTTACAAATGAAGCTTAATTAGACTAAACCTGCCCCAAACAACTATAGGCAAAGAGCAAACAATGGGAAAATTATGCCATCAGTTTGGGTGTGCTTCCATGTGGATTATTAGTGTGCTTGACTTATTCCCTTCGGTAGAATTTCTGTTGGTGTGCTTCCATGTGGATTATTCTCGCGAAAGAAATATAGATCAGTTTGCATTAAGCATGATTAAGCCACATTTTTAGCTCTCCATTCTCAAGAATTATTTACTTAAAGTGACAACATGAACTCTTGCTGCCCTTCAGATTCTTATGTTTTCTTTTAATGTGCAGTGAGATGTGTTATATTCGGTGCTGTATGGATCATTCTTGGGAAGCGCGTTTGGTTTTTTCCTAATATCCTTGCAGAGGAAGCAACACTGAAAGAATTATTCCGATTTTGGCCCACTAAAGATGAAGAGGAACGGCCTAAATGGACAGCAAGGCTTTTCTATGCTATAGTGGCTGTGCTGGTCATATTACTGCTCAGGCATCATGCACCAGATGAGGCTGCTAGAGCCAGGTCAGTTTTTATCTGATTTTTTGTTTGGCAATGTAACTTGTGCATGCATGAGTTACATTTACTCATTTAGCCCTCTGCTATGCTTTGAGTCCTATTTTACAAGTATATGGTGGAACTTATCTATTTGATAGTTGACATGCTACACTGTAGCCATGAGGGCCCAGCTTATCTTCAGGAATAGCAAGTCTGGACCGAAGCTCATTTCCTATTAGGCATTGGTAATTACACTAATGAGTAATTAATTAATTGAAGCCAGTTTTGGATGAACAGAAACACCACTTCCATGTCTATGGTCTCCTTTTGCCTCTTATCTTTGACATGCCTTTTCTTTCATTTATTTATCAGTTTGACATGCCTCTTCCTTAGAACTGTTACAGACATTTTGTTAAACCTYCCATCCAGATTTGGTAGCTTGTCTCAGAAAAGCACCATATAAAAATGGCTTATAAAACCAAATGTTATTTTTAAAACATTGTTTATTGCACTTAGTTAACTGGGTACGAGATGAGATGGTTACTTGGCATCCATCCACATATGGAAGTGTGGGATAAAATCCGCATACCTGCCAAAAAAAATGGGTATGAAAGGAAAGAAAAAATGCAACATAACAAGTTTCTATTAGAAGGTGCAGCAGTTCTAAGAAAATCACTTAAAAGTTCCATGGTTAACATGTAAATGAGAGGTTTACACGAATATGCCCTTACTAACAATATAATTCAGCTCAAGGATAATGGTCGAATGACTTTGTAGGATGGTGACCTTTGTTTGCCAGCCAGTCTGCTGCTTGGTTTCCTTACTCTGCTGTTTGATATTGAGGTTGTGATTGTGAGCAATGAGTTTGCTTTCAACCTTGACAAATATGCACTTGAAAACATAGTTGAGCTATAATCTCCTGAGATATTGTGGATTTAGATGATAAGCTTGAATCACTCAAGTTTCAGCTCGATGGACAACATAATGACTAGAATTAGTGAGCCTGCTTAGCTAAGAATTTGTTTTACCCTTGCCCCTTGCAGGTATCAGAAGCGGGTTTCCAACATAATCGATGATGTGTTAGAGTGGTCCCCAAGATTGGCTTTGTCAGGAATGATGGAAAAGCAGCAGACTGTGATCAATGTAACAGACACCAACAGCAATTCTACCGAAGGGACTAAGTCAAGTACAGAAGAGGCAGCTCCGCCTGAGGGCATGGATGAAGAAGACAACTCATTCCCGAGCAACTCCGAATGGAGTGGAATTAAGGGTGGGGAGGATGATGATCATCAACATCAAGAAAGTATTTGAATGTGAATTGCCAGCTTCTTTCTCTTCCCTTCTTTTTCTCTTCCAAATATATTTCCAGAATGTAGAACCGTTAACTAGAGCCATAAGCATTTGGAGTTATAAAATTATGCTTCCTTTTTTTAATAAAGCAATTAGATCCCAATTTCCATTATTTCTTGGTTTCCAGGGAAATGGGGGTGGCAATTGGATGAGTTGTGTGCCAGGGGGTCCCCATTTATATAGTTAGTAGTAAGTGGAGGCAGAACTAAAAACAGTAAAGTGGGTCCTTGCCCCCCCAAAAGTTGAACTGAGATGTGAAGGATCACTCTCTAATGCTTTTCCAACTCTCAAAATTAAAAAAAAAAATGTTATTTATTATTTTTTAAATCTATAATAAACCCAAACATTCCAGTCCCAATTCTCTTGAAACCTGTACTCCCTATTTCATTTTCTTGTTTAACTTGGCCTCCCAAAAGAAAATTCCTGGCTCCGCCACTTGCCCACCCATGCCAATTATTGATTTTAATGATGACCCTATTTTGGGCAGGGGAGTCAATTGGACTGGATTTGGTCTAATATGAATCCATTAAGATTCAATCCGATGAATATTTTGGACTATTCTGGACCGGTCCAATTTAATGTCTGGACTGTACAATCGTCTCAAGTTGGCTTTAATTTAGATTGGTTCCAATCCAAACATGGTCCATTGATACCTGTATTCTTATCTTCTATAATGGATCAGATATTGGTTCAATCTAATATAAGTCCATTAAGGATGTACCAGGTCCACTCCAAGCCGATAAATACTTTGGACCATCAAGTCTGAACTGGTCCAATTCGATATGTTTTGGTCTTTGGCACCCCCCTACTTATGGGCAGGCAAGGTTCAAAGTATTGATACGTGTGATTAACAAAATTGCAAATTGTGTGACATAAAGGGGGGGGATACTCAGATTAAGTTTGGGTTAATTACTTGAAGTACCCCGTAAGGTTTTAAACCCTATTTGAAGTACTCTTGTTTGGGAAATTCGATTTTTGTTCATTCTTTCCGTTAGATTAGCTAGCCTAAAATGACTCTTGCCATATTCTTCAAAGTTTCAACATGTGCCCTCCTTTTCTCCTCCCCTCCCATTCTTTTATTTTCCTTCTCTCTCCTCTTCTTACTTACTCATACTTTCCCCCTCTCCCTCTGACAGTTTGATGCCCATGAATTCAAAAGTGCCTAATATTTTCTGTCATGATTCACTACTATRATATTCTCTAGCGACAATTCCCGAATGGGGCATAATCCGATCCAGACCAAATCTTATCCAATTAAGACCCCTACCCATATTCAACTTTCCAAGTAAATGAATGGGTTTAGATGGATCAGGTGGGTGTGGGTTATAAATGTCCACACCAATTGGGAATTGATCCCCAATGATAAATGTTATTTATTTATTCATACAAATATAACAGATATATATTATTTATTTATTTATAAATATATTATTTGTATTGTATTTTTATAAATTTGTTATATTAATTATATCTTTTATAAAAACATGTATATATATGATGAAAATAGTTGAAAAGATACTTATATTTTGTTATATTAATTATATCTTTTATAAAAACATGTATATATATGATGAAAATAGTTGAAAAGATACTTATATTTTTTTTTGTTTTTTCTAATTATTATATTTTATTTTTCTTTTAATAATTTATTATTTTTTCAAGAAATTTAAATCGGATTGGATCAGATCTGAAAATTTGACTTCGTCGAATTTGAGCATGAAGCGAAATGGATCGAGCTAATGGACACTGAATAAAGAGACGATGAGATGTTTCTTCATGCATGTTGAAGAAGGTGCCAATGCTTGTCCGTCAGAGCTTTCTTTTTAACAAGAACAAAATAGCTTTAGTGGCCTGGGTAAGCCCTCCCAGCGTAACTTCCATGCAAAGACTTTAATATAAACCTTTGGAGCAAATGGAGTTTCCATTAGAGAGGCCAATCCTTGCAGGAAGAGCTTTGACATTGCTCAATAGAAACTAGAAAGAAAGCTGCCGCAATAGACAGCGTGTGGTTAGCTTACCACACTTGTCCTCCACTCTTCAATTTGGCATTTTGGCTTGGAAGAATTGAGCGAGACCATCCTTTACTTTCCAAACGAAACTATGCTTAATATCTTCTTTCGGCTTCAAAATATTACGCCACCACAGAGAATGTCCCTGTTTTGGTTTGGTTTGGCTTCAAAAATGGAATTCATTAGTAATGCGGGCTGGCAGAAGATTGGTTTGCATTAGATAGACTATAATAGCTTGCGCCACTGACTGAATTAGAGTACAACTGCCGGCTTGGGAGAGGAGAGAAGATTTCCAAGATGCTAGTCTATCTCTAAGATGTCTTTATATATGTTCAAGCCCATTTATTTATTTCTCCAAATAAAGAGTTTTTGTGCCAAGATAAAGACTATCTATGACTATATATCAACGAATGGGGGACCTCTCCCTCTCCCAGCTCCCACTCTATTTATTCAGATGAGGGACCATCCTCCTCCTCTTCCTAATCCTACGCTCCTCCAAGTAAGAATTAACCAAACCTAATAACTTTTACAGGAACAAATCAATTTTGTTATTATGTGCATATAGATATAGATGGAGGACCACACTGCCTCTAGTGAAACAATTACACAATACCATCCAGTTGGCGGCTACATTGTTCCATAATTCTTGTGCTGGAACTAGGTTAGTGAGATTACATTTTATTTAGAAGAAACCTAAATAGTGGTAACGTAAGGAATAGCATGTTTATTATATGCGAGATTATAATATGGTGATCATTCTGGAGAGAAACGGTGAATAGGAGGAAGGATGATTGTAGTACTCAATCTAGTCCAGTTATGCCCTAGGAGTCCTAGTTGGGACCCATTATATGATAGTTTTGGTAGGCTGTTGTTTAGAACAKATTATGTAATCTTGATCTGCTCTTCAAGTGGCCACTCCAAAAATATCTGCTTCTCTTTAAATACAGGTTTCTGGCAACAGAGGAAAGCTATGCTCACCCAACATACAAACACATCTTAGTTGAACTAGACAAAACTGAGTATACAAATGTATTTGGCCGTGCAAGATGGCCTGGTGCGCCTCATTGCGCCCTGAAAACACCTTTCTTTAGTAATTTGAGGCCTCTCATTGAGGATGAGAATGAGATCAGCCAGCCAGTTATTGGCCATTCAACAATACATGACATGGTAAGAATCTTTCTCTCTTTTGAACTTGTAACAATTTTTTTCTTGCTTATTACTAATTTACTGCCAATACAATTACAAAGTTGAAAGCATTGTGTTTGTAACATAGACATAAGTTAATAACTATCCACTGCTATGTCTTTTACAAATTACAACTAACCACTAACCCACTTGGATCACCAAATAATATGTCATATGGATATGAAAATCCTTGTCACTTTTTATCCAATTGAAGTTTAGTTTTAATGCAATAATCACCTTTTCCTTCCCATTTGGTGCGGCAATGGCTTTGTTTTACATACCATGACCTGGAACAGACTACAAACTCCATGTTACTTAGTCTATAGTGTTATATGAATATTAAAATTTTTGCAGAGCATTGTCAACCACAACGGTATAGCCATATAGTTTAGTATCTCATATTAAATCATTTGTCTATAACTTAATGAACTACATTTTGTTTGGACTTTGTCAAACTCTTTTTTTCCATCAAGTAAGAAGGTCCATATTTATAAAATCTGTATTCTTTGCCAAAATTAAGACAACATCACCCCCCCAAAAAATACATTATTAACATTTAGAAGTATAAATTCAAAATCTATAATATCAATCAACTATGACAATGTGCTATACTTACTGAATGATAAATTTATGCTTGTAAGAATAATTTCCATCATATGTCCAAATAAAGAAAAAACCATGGTGTTGATGTTGAGTTAGGCAGAATTTGTGTAGCAGTAAGATTTAGTGCAGGATGATGGCGATTCTTTGTAAAGTCCAAGTCTGAGTGTTATTCTTTGTAAAATCCAAGTAACATAAGAAGGGGAAGAAGAAAATAAGTATGCAAGATCACTTTGTTTCCTGCTTTTGACTGAGTTTTGTCTCTATCTTCAGGAAAAAGAGATCCGGTTGCTTGTAGGTACTGTTCCAAATGTAACAACAACTGGTGATATTGAACGAATGGTCATGTATGCTGGTCAAGGTGTGGACCTCATCAAGGAGATTTTACCAGCAGGTGAAGTGAAACCAGTCCGGCAATCCAATATAGAGCATAAAAGGATTACAAGATATATTAGAACTTACCTGGTTCGGAATTTTGGCCTGACGTCGGTCAATGCAACAGGGGAGGCTTCTTTGGTTTCTGTCGATTCGTCTATGACGATGAGAACTTGAACAATCTTTTCTACTGCCGACTCGAAATGGAGTGAGAAGCAGAAGGGACCTTCATCGCTGTAACTCTACTGATGCGCCAACGAGAAGATATAAGAAACGACGGGAGAGAAGGATAGAGAGGGAGAGGGAGAAAAGAAAAGAACTAACAGCAGAGAAGAAGCTAGGTCGGCTGGGTTGATAAGATAACGAGAGAGGGAGAGAACGAGAGAAAGGGGGAAAAAAGTGGGAAAGCTTCGGTGGATGAAGGTTCGATCTCCTCTGTCCACCACCTCTTCGAACCGCCGAAGAGAAAAGCCACGACCGCCGAAGAGAAGAACCACAACCGGAGAGAATACTTTCCACAGATGCTTTAAATCATCGAAGAGAAGAGCCACGACCGCCGGAGAAGAGTTGCCGAACGTTCGAACAAGTTTTTCAGAACTTTGAGCCTTCGAAGGTTTTTTGAGTTTCAGACGATTTTGGCTTTGATTCAAAACGGTAGGGTTTGGCGAGATGGTGATTCAACTATTGGGTTTTGGTTTTGGACCGATTCAAACTAATAATAATACGGGCGATTTTATTTTGGGTTGGCCCAACCCAATAAGTATTAATGGATTATCCAAAACCGATTTGATAAGATTTGAATCGGTTTGGATGCAACCTAAAACCGTCCAATTGACAGCCCTATGACTGGTTGGAACTTTGAGGACACAGTTGTGACCAGATAACGTCAGATTACGATGAAGTTTATCTGAAATTCTAGTCACCGGTTGCTTTCCTTTAGCTTTTGAACTCTCAACCTATTGAGGATAATATCACTACCACATCATCAGATATTGCCATGTCATCAGATGTATCTATATCTGGATTAAGTAGGACTCAACTAACTTGATAGAATTCAGTGTAATCTGACTCTCTAATTGAGTGTTGTACTCAAATTGTAATTCTATATCTATAAATACACGGGGTTCGAATGGCTCACCACCCGATCAAACCATTCTCATTCAGCTCAGTTAGAGCTACAACTTGGGCCAGGTTGGCTCGAACCCAATCCGAAAAAGTCGGGTTGGGTTGGACTGGGTTGATGATCGGGTTAGGGTTAGGGTTGGGGTTGAAATTCTTGAACTTGAACCCGACCCAACCCCTATAGTACTAGACTACTAGTCTACAACTCTACTACATGTCATATATATATATATATATATATATATATATATTTGTTTAGATGCATGATAGTTGTATATCCCCCCTACATACTATCATGCCTTTCTTTAAGTAATTACTTGTCTTTTCCTTTTATCTTGTAATTTTTATGTGTGACCTATCAAATAGATTCAAAATATTTGCTTGATCCTATGAATTGTTATTAGTGATTTTATTTCCATAATTTTATGTTTCATTATTGTTGATTTCATGAATTTATATTTTTGAGAAAAATTCTATCATAGGCCATGACTCATGATAAATAAATACTTATTTTTCTACTAGATTTTAAGGGATGGGAAGGTCGGGTTGGGCCCAACCCAGCCCGAAGTTGACATCGGGTTGGGTTAGGGTTGAAGGAATTAGTTAGGGTTAGGGTTGGCCTCAACCCGACCTAACCTGGCCCGACTTGTAGCCCTAAGCTCAGCTCTTTGTCTTTTATTATTTCTTAACTTGGTATCAGAGCCACAATATCATGGCTTCATTCAACAGCTTGACAGGAGGAGAAATCAACAACCTAGGGTCGTTGACTCCAACAGCTACAACTGGTACGCCAGGATCAATCCCAAACGTCCCTCACTATCTGTCCATCAAGTTGAATAGCGACAACTATCTCCTGTGGCGTGCGCAACTCCTTCCCATTCTCCGTACTCAGAAACTTATAGGAATAGTGGAAGGAAATACCCCTGCACCTCTTGAAGAAATTGATGATCTGGAGGATTCGTCAAAGAAGATTGTCAACCCAGCATTTGATCATTGGTACCAATTGGATTAGCTGGTACTTAGCTGGATTGTTCCGTCTCTTACTGAAGGTATACTCGCTTATGTCATGGGTATGTCTTCATCATCTGAAGTTTGGAGTGCGTTGGAGGAGTCATTCGCTTCTCACTCTCGCTCTAGAGTTTTGCAGTTGAAGAGACAACTCCAAAGTATCAAGAAAGGTACTCTTTCTATTTTTGAATATATACAGAAGGCTAAAGGTATTGCTGACAACCTTTCACTGATTTTGTACTTGTCTCTCGACAAGATCTTGTTATGTGTATTTTGAGCGGACTCGGATTTGAATATGAATCCATTATTACTGCTATTGCTAATAGACCTAATTTTGATAGACTGCGAATTGTTGATGTTGTTGGCCAATTACTCAATCATGAGTCTTGGCTTAAAGAAAATCACTATATTAAATCAGATGATGGTGCTTCTGTCAATCTTGCTTCAAAATAATAAAAATCACTCATAGAAATCCCAACAGTCGCGCAATAATTCACAGCGCAGAGGAGGCAGAGGCGGTCGCAGGAATCAGAATGATAGTCCCAAATGTGGTCGCGGACGCAACAATTCTATTGTTTGCCAATTGTGCAACATCACTAGCCATGGTGTTTGGAAATGCATGCGTCAATTTGATATTTCCTATCTTGGTCCTAATCGGCAACCTGCTCAAAACCCTACTCCTGATCCAACTGTAGCTTTTCACACTAGCTCTTCATCACAGTTTGATCTGGCTTGGTATCCGGATTCTGAAGCAACACATCATATCACGTCCGATTTGGACAATATGCATATTCGATCAGATTATGGAGGGTCTGATCAGGTGAAAATTGGTAATGGCACAAGTTTGAAGATAAAAAATATTGGTTCTTCAATTATTTCTYATAATGACAATAAATTTTATCTTGAGGATATTTATCATGTTCCCTCCATTACAAAGAATCTGCTTTCTATCAGCAAATTTACCAAAGATAACAATGTTGTCTTTGAATTTCATCCTTCTTATTTTCTGTTGAAGGACCATATGGGGAGAGTTCCACTCCACGGGCCCAGTAAAGGTGGACTCTATCAATTCCCTACTTCAACATCTATCCCTTCTGCTCCATCCTCCGACAGTACTGCATTTATTGGCGAGAAAGCATCAATTCGGGTCTGGCATCATCGGCTACGACATGCTTCAGTAAAAGTAGTTCGGCAAGTGCTATCTTAGTTTGGTCTTCCCTACAACGGTTTGTTTAGTTTACCAGTTTGTCATGCATGTCAATTAGGAAAGAGTCATCGTCTTCGCCTCCCCAGTTCATCTACTTCTTATAGTCGTCCATTAGAACTGATCTATTCAGATGTATGGGGGCCAGCCCCGGTTGAGTCAAATAGTGGTTTTAAATATTATGTGTTATTTGTTGATGACTTTTCTAAATTTTCTTGGATGTTTCCTATGCGCCGAAAGTTTGATGTATTTGATATTTTGTTCAATCGGACTGGGGGGGGGGATACCAGTGACTCTCACAATATCTTAATTCCCAAGGCATCAGACACCGTATCGCCTGCCCTCACACTCATGAGTAGAACTACACCGTTGAAAGGAAGCATCGACATGTGAAAGAATCCACCCTCATCCTACTGGTCGCTGCCTCTCTTCCCTAGAATTTTTGGTCTGATGCAGCTGAAACTGCGATTTTCCTAATTAACCACATCCCTTCTCAAACTCTCCAAGGCAAATCACCATATGAAATTTTATTTCAGCACACACCAGATTATTCTCTGCTTCGCACTTTTGGTTGTGCATGTTACCCTTTTTCGCGACCGTACAATCAGCATAAAATGGATTACATGTCTTCTCTTTGCATATTTTTGGGGTACAGTTCCTCTCACAAAGGTTACCGCTGTTATGATATCAAGACAGGTCGCCTCTACATTTGCTGCCATGTTATTTTTTATGAAGAATTGTTTCCTGATCTGCCACCACCGACACCATCTCCGGGTCCCAGTTTTGATGGCGTCAATCTTCTTCTAGTGTGTGTAAACCAGCAACGGGGATATGTTCTTGTAGCTCTATCTTCATCTCAAACGTCTCCCGGGACTGATGTACCTAGATCGGATAGCTACAATGATAATGTTGAGAGTGCTAGACCTGTTTCTACTTCAGACGAACTCCCACGCACTCGACCTCGGACTCAATTGGTTTAGGATCTCTTGGACTCCACACGATCGGTTCCTGCTCCATTTCGGTGCACTCATTCTAAGATTACCAAGTCCATGCGCTCTGAAGCCTCTCTGGCCACTGTTGCTGCTACTGAATCTGTTATACTGCCTCTGTTGCTGCTACTGAATCTGAACCCAACACTTATTCTCAATCCTCTAAGCATCGTCATTGGTGTGATGCGATGTCTAGAGAGTTTCAGTCTCTTGTTCAGAACAAGACTTGGGATCTTGTCCCATATCATCGTTTGATGAATGCGGTAGGCTCTAAATGGGTGTATAAGATCAAATGAAAACTCGATGAATCTGCGGATCGCTATAAAGCCCGACTTGTTGCTCAGGGTTTTACTCAAATTCCGGGTGTGGATTTTTCTGACACTTTTAGTCCAGTCGTTAAACCCACCACCATTCATACTATTCTCTCTCTTGCAATTCCCCATCAGTGGGTCATTCGGCAATTGGACTTTGACAATGCTTTTCTCAATGGTCTTGTCACTGAGAATATCTATATGTGGCAACCTAAGGGTTTTGAGGATACTGATCGCCCTAGTCATGTATGCAAATTATCCAAAGCCCTCTATGGCCTTCGACAGGCTCATCGAGCTTGGTTCTCACGCCTTAGCTCTAAGCTTGTTGAACTGGGATTTCGTACCTTTAGATGTGATCCCTCTCTATTTATTTACTCTCATGGTGCTCACTGTATATATTTTGTTATTATATGTGGATGATGTTATACTCACAGGGACTTCATCGGCTATTATTAAATCTGTGATAACCAAACTGAGTCGAATGTTTCATCTAAAGGGCCTTGGTGACCTACACTATTTTTTGGGTATTGAAGCTCACAAAGATCACACTGGACTTTATCTTTGTCAGCGTTAGTATATTATTGATCTCCTTCATCGTGCTGGCCTTGATGGTGTGAAGCCTTTCTCTTCTCCTATGGCGGCAAGTACTAAACTCTCTAGACTTTATGGATCACCTCTCTCTGACCCATCTCAGTACAAGAGTATTGTGGGAGGGTTGCAGTATCTTACTCTCACTCGCCCTGACATCAATTTTGCAGTTAACAAGGCTTGCCAAATCTTAAATAACCCTACAAATGAACATTGCCTTCTCCGATGTTGATTGGGCTGGGTGCCCTGATGACCGTCGGCCTACTGGTGGCTACTATGTTTATCTTGGTTCTCATCTAGTGAGCTGGAGTACTAAGAAGCAGTAGACAGTTGTCGGATCAAGTACAGAAGCTGAATTCAGGTCTCTTGCAAATACTGCTACTAAATTAATTTGGTTGCAGTCTCTCTTAATGGATTTTGGAATCCAACTTCCATCAGCTCCGTCACTCTAATGTGATAATGTTGGAGCATGTTATTTTGCTGCTCATTCGATCTTTCATGCTCGGACCCACCATATAGAGGTTGATTTCCACTTTCTACGAGATCATCTTCTCAAGAAATCTCTCCAACTTCATCATGTTTAGTCATTAGATCAGTTG